CGGGGGTGGCTAGAATCCCTTCCGCTACCTGGAGTCCCGACAGGAGAGGCGCACCAAGGGGCGGCGTGGAGAAGAAGACTGCCCCAGCGAGTGCGTGTCGCCATTCGCAGGCTGCATCTCCTAGAACCCTTCAGGCGATTCTGAGAGCAGGAGGTGCCGCAAAGGAGTTCATCGATCGTGAAGTGCGAGAGCTGTGAGCGAACAAGCCCGAAGCCTAGATCGCATCCTGTCGGCATTGGTCATGGGACCTATGTCTTCGGTGACGTTGTAGGAGTAGACGTGTTAGAAGCCAGGACCATGGATTCGCAAAGAAGGAGATATCAGTGCTTCAACATTGTCGATCTCGCGACGGGTTTCCAGCAGCTAGAGCTCCTGAGGGAAGTCACCAGAGAGAGTCAGGGCCCGCCCCCGGCGGAGATGTGCTTGGAGGCATTCCAACGGTGGCTCGCGTGGGCGAGTCTACCTCGTTGCATCATGGCCGATAGAGGGTGACCGAGGCCCCCTGGATGCTGGGCAAGGTGGAGCGTCACGGGGGTTTAGCCCTGCAGAGTGTGATTCAAGAAGTCATTGCCGTCAAGAACATGACCATGAATGTTTCGGGATTTTCGCCTAAGCATGGAATGACATTGGTGCCATGCATGGAAGGAAAGTTCAGTGGAGCAGATGCATTTGCTCTGAGACAGAAGAGCCGCCTTGAGGCAAAGAAAGCCATAGTCAAGCTTGACACGAGCCGTAGGATACAAAAGGCATTGACAAAGAATGCAGCACCAATCAAGGAGCAGTACAAGACTGGAGACTATGTGGTGTATCGGAGAGCACATGCGGGTGGAACCAAGTGGAGTACTACCTCGAGAGTGATTGGACGAGAGAGTGCAGAAGCCATATGGGTTGTGAATGGCGGTATATATTCCCTGTCTTGTGTTCGGTTCATTCCCTGAGGCCAGCTTCGGAAGAGGAGGTATTGTCGCATTGTCTGTTTCGGGTATCCCAGTGCTCCCTGAGTCGTTGACCGAAGGGAAGAGAGGATTTGTTGATGCAAGAGAGGAACCTCAACCGAAAGCCAGAAAGCCCACCTCTGCAGCTCGGAAACGCAAACAAGAGGAGGTTGAACCGCCCGGGATCTCCAGCAGTAGTTCGAGCTCGAGTTCAGACAGCTCATCAGACGATGGGCCGGCGCAGCCTGGACAATCGTCCCAAGCAAACATTGCCTTTAGAATGATCACGTTGTTGACGATTCAGATTGGAGGGTTTGCAATGAAGCAAACATTGATGATGCAGAAGAAGCAGCACAAGGAGCATTTGAGAGAAGCGATTTTCGTCCATCAACATGCCTCAAACTGCTCAGGATGACACCGCTTACTAGCAGAGGGAAGCGCGAGATTGTCAGGAACGGTAAAGCCTATAGCTTTGGAGCGTATGCCCATGGAAATTTTTCAGGTATAACAGAAGCAACAAGCAGACACAAAATGTTGGTGATGTACCTGAACAGCTACTTGAGAGCAAGAGGGGCGAGTGAAGGATGGTCGTCAATTCAGATAAGCAGAGACCTTGAAACGCCTCCACATAGAGATTGTCACAACTTGAAGAAGAGCAAGAACCAGCTGACGACGTTGGGTCCTCATGAAGGAGGACATCTGTGGGTCAAGGACGAAGACGGCGATGTGATGTTCGGTGAACAGAAAGGTCGTATCTTGGATAGCCGAAACAAGGTCGCTGTCTTTGACCCAGATCAGGTGCATGCGACTCTTCCATTGGAAGGTGAACGTTGGTCCATAAATGCATTTGTGAGTAGAGGTGTTTTGAAGTTCGGGGATTACGAAAAGGGTCAGCTCGGGGATCTAGGTTTCAACTTGGACCCCATCGCATCGATGGCGCCGAACATCGCAAGTGTTGCTGAGCAGGAATCCAGTTCTGCTGCAGAAGCTTCGCAGGAACCGAAGAGAGAGCTCAACGAGGTGATGAACCCGTGCACGAGTAAGGATCATTGGAAGGTCGGTCAGAACAAGCATTTCAGAGTGCACGTTGCACGCCGTCGTTACATGTACGAGCCTAACTCGGATGATTTCCCCGGTGATCTCGACAAGATCGGATACACTAGGGAAACACATCGCTACTTTGAGGACGGTTCGAGCGATGTGGTTTATGATGAGTGGGGATTGGTTCCCGAGGCATCCGGACTCACGAACCTCACATGGACAGGGTTCAGTCTTTTCCGTGTTCGATGTGAGAGCCGTTTGGATCTGTCAGAGTTTTTGCGGCAGAGAGGTTTAGTCCAGGAAGTGATCAGCAAGCGGGAAAGAAACCCCGCAAGATGAACCACTTCAAGTGCGAGGATCACGTCAAGGAAGGCATCGAAGGAGCCCGTAAGGAAGAATGGGAGAAGTACCAACGCAGCAATACCAATCCAAGGCGACAGGTTGCAGCAACTGCTCAACGAAGGGCACAGGCCGATCCCGAGCCAGTGGATCGACGTCGACAAGAAACCAAAGGGGGAGTGAGGACTATAGACCCAAGTATCGCAGCCGACTCGTGGCGTGCGGACATCTAGAACATGTTGACAGGAATGAGCTTCGTTGTGATAGTCCCACTGCCGATGCTGAAGTTCATTGTCTCATCGCGAGCTATGCTGCATCAAGACGGTTGAAGCTGCGTTGTGGTGACAGCGCTTACTTTCAGGCGTCTCCGCTTGAAAGGGTGCTGATCATGCGGCAGCCAACGGGAGGTCTCCCAGGTGTTCCGGAGGAGGCTATGCTCCTCTGCAGGCTCCCAATCTACGGCACCGACGATGCGGGGCGTGGTTTCTATAACAGATTGAGTTCAGAGGCCAAGGGCGAGGGTTTAACGATGAGTCGGATTGCCCCAGGTTTGTATTACCTACTTGGGTCGGACGGATGGCCGGCTATTGTCCTCGCAACTGTTACGGTGTGCAACACCAGAAGGTACGGAAACTACTATGGAGCGAATTTTGGCAAAGTTCGATGTTAGGAAGATTGAGGACACGGACTTTCGTTTCTGTGGTCGAAGGTTCCGACAGGCCGAAGACTTCAGCGTGCGCATTGACACGGAGGACAACACGTGGCAGATTCGGAAGATCAACATCCCAGCAGGACGCAAGGCCACGGATCATGCAACCGAGGCTGAGGTAACGAGCCTTAGGAGTGTTGTAGGTTCGCTAGCATGGATAGCTAGGTTCGCAAGGCCCGATTTGTGTTACAGAGTGAACAGTCTTCAAAGATCATGCTCCAAAGAGACGATCGCCGACTTGAAGGAAGCTAACCGCGTGGTCGAGCTCGCCCAGGCTGACCAGGAACGATCGTTGTACTACCCGTACCCGGCGGGATCTTTAGACTGGCATGACATATGCATTGTGACCTTCTCAGACGCATCATTCGCCCAAGAATCCGGTTTTAGAAGCCAACAGGGCAGGTTGCATTACCTGACCACACTGAGCACGGCGAATGAAAACAAGCACATTGCGCATGTGTTGAGTTACGGGTCTACAATAATCAAACGCGTCTGCAGAAGCACATTGGCGTCAGAGACGTACGCCATGCAGACAGCCGTCGAAAGTGGCGACAGGCTGAGGGCCATCGTGTGTGAACTGCGTGGGCAAAAAAACTACCTTCCTTGAAGGGGTGGCTTGAAACCTCTCAGAAGAAAATGTTGCATCTTTGGATTACGGACTGTCGCAGTCTCAGCGACCATTTGAATAGTCAACAAGTCAACAAAGTCACAGACCGCCGCCTCATGATCGAATTGATGTCGATGCGCCAGCAGCTCTGGGAGAACGAGATCGAGACCGCACGATTGTACTCTCCCCACGGGGATCGTTTGAGGTGGACCGATACGGCCACGCAGGTAGCAGATGCTTTGACAACAAGCATGCGTCCATTCCAACTGTTCCGGTTCATGGAAACGGCGCTTGTGCAACTATCAGACCCATCGAAGAAATTGTCAAAAGCCGATGCAGTGACACGCGAGTGACCTGAACCGCATGCGGAATTCCACTGATGTACAGTGCATGACGTGAATAGTGATCTAGCAAATACCAGGAATTGCAGTCTGGTAGAACGCCTTGTACAGCAAGCCACAACATTTCACTCCCAAGACTCGGAGTGAGATATGAGCCCCCGGCACGCATCAATAAGTAAAACGGGTGAGAATTTCCTCTGTGTTCTTACGTGTGCAGCTTGAGTACGTGCCCTTTTCAGTGTGCAGTAGCAGTCACGGTCATGTATAGGAACCATGTTCACGACCAACCGTTGCTGTTTGACTTAACAGGGCCCTTGAGCTAGAGGCACAAAAGTGCGAATCCAATTGTGCCATAGTTCGCTGACATCTGTTCGCTAAACTTAACAATTTACATAATATAAATATTGGGAGGGGGCCCAAATCTAAATTATTTAGATTATGTAATTCGGGCCGGGACATATATAATTCAAACAACAAAAATAGTTGAAATAAAAAAACAAAACAAATAAGATAAACAAAATTTAAATGGTGGGGAGGGGGTCCCGGGGGGGTCCGTGGCGGGCCCAGGATTTACATTATTTAAATTTTCGAAATTGTTTAATTCCCGGCCCGAATTAAATAATTTAAATATTGGGAGAGGGCCCAACATTTACATTTGTTTAAATTATTTAATTCCCGGCCCCGACCCCCCAGGAAAAAAACCAATAGGGTTTATTTGGAAGCAGGCTCTTGTATATATAATAGGGACCCAGCTCAATATTTCCTCTATAAAATACAAGAGCAGCTTCGAAATAGACCCGGTTTAGGCTGCACACGGGGGTGGGAGGGGCCAGCCGAGGCGAGGAGGATTAGCGGTATCTGCAAGAATCGGGCGGCCAGGTATCGGTGTGTCGTGTGGAGTTTAATCTAGGAATGGACGACGGCCCAACGTCTAACACTTTCAGGCTCAGGATCTCTCGGTTGCTTTGGGCTCCGCATGGTTTCGGTGAGATGCTCAACCTAAAAATGTACTCTGATCGACGGGTCTGATGTCCAAGGCGCAGACCTACAAGAACTGCTCCTTGGGTCACCAAAGCAACTGTTGTGCTTTTTGTGAGCTGTCGAACCCGAGATCTCTGCACCTTTGGACCACTCCCTACTGAGGCCCCTTGGACGCTGTGATCAAAGTACTTCAAGAAGAAGCCCAGGACTACACGATGCCGCGAGTGGTGTCACTGGCTGGAGAGCGCAAAGCCCGTTTCAGCCTCGACGCATTGAGTGGAGGATTTCGGGGCACTGGTGGTGCTACGAGCCTGAAGGAAGAGCTGGTGGAACGTGTTCCCGTGCTCTGCGACTCGGGAAGCTTCCGCGAAGTTCGACGTATCTTTCGCGAGGACTGTGGTGGCTGTAAGGCTCTGAAACCTGAGCTGACTCACGCGGGCTTCATCGATGCATCCACCGGCTTGTTGACCACCGGAACGAAGCCTTTCAACCTGTTTGCAAGAATCGCAGCCGGGGAGATGGAGCAGCCAGGCACGGACACTGTTGCTTGTAGGTTCTTGAGCGCCATCTCTTAAGCCGCAAAAATGCAGCCTGTAGGTGCCACGACCTTGTTCTATTACGGACTCTATTTCGTAATCCTGTGACACCGTTCTCAGGCATGGCAGCGGAGCAAACTGCATTGCAAGACTTCTCGAGTTCTGTTTGCATTTGTCGCAACAAGCCAGAGAATGACGCACACTGGGATTCGGAAGCGGCGGAGTGGGTTGGTAAGGCGTCCATGTCAGCGAGACACCGGTTTTTAACGACGAAAGACCTGCGATGGACTTTCTTCAACGCACTGACACTGGGCATGAGCGAAGATGGGGACCCGGACCGCCCGGACCCGACAAGCTTGATGGAGTCCATCGAGCTCCTTGAGACGTTGAAGGCCGCCGCTTTGGCGTACGTGACGAACATGCAGGGATGGTCCGACAAGATCGGGCTCTACTTCCACGTCTTTGGCCACAACTCCGTTAACTCGCTCCACTTGCATGTCGTGGACATGAGCTCTGTGGGGCCAACATTTCACAAAATGAGTTACAAGAATTGCCCCATCAACGCGGTGTTGAAGGTGTTGCGGGAAGAGCTCGCCACCGTGCAGGCAGCCGAGCGTCCCAAATTGCAACCAAAGGCAGCTGCCGTTGAGGAGTCTCCGCAAGCACAGGATGCCGTCCAAGAGCTCAACGTGGCTGGCGAGGTAGTTGCCTTGTCCGTGGCAACTCTTCGTCGCTCTCCGCCGAAGTCGTTTCTCAGAGCTTTGGTCGACGGTGTGGACAATCCCATGCTTGTCCGTGCTGCCTGGCTTCACAGAGCAGTGGCCACGGGAGCCGCCCGTTGTGTCCGAATCATGCCTGTTGTCCAGGACAGCCGCGGCCGGATCTTCCTCGACTTTCCGCCAGATGCCTTCAAGCGCATTCTCAACCACCTTCGCATGCAACACTTGAGGCCACACTCGACTCTTTGGTGCCTTGACTTGGACGGCTCAGCTGCAATTTTGCTGCTCCCCTTTCTTGCGTGTCGAAGAATGCAAGGTGTGCAGATGAGGACGTGGCCGGTTCGTCGTTCTCTGTTCTCGTATGCTTTGCAGCGGTGCCGCATGCCTTTGAGGAGACCCGTCGGCTAGCAAAGTCCCTTGGCTTTGCCGCACGGTGCACGCCGAACTACTACTTGCTCTGCAGGGGCCCTAATTGGCAGAATCGGCGCAGACTGTGCAGCGTTCATTTCACGTTGGTGGCTTTGTCCCGTTCTCAAGGTGCTACCCTCGGGGTCGCTGCTCTTTGTCTCGTATTCTGCAGGAAGTGAGGCTTAGCATCGCATCGTTCCACTCTCCGCAGTCCTCGAGCTGATCGCGCCTCCACGCTCCATGTGCTCCCTCCTTCGCTGCTTCCCCGGGCCCGACCTAAGTCATGCCTTCACGTCGCCGGCCCGCCTCACATCGTCGCACGTAGTGGGCTGCTGCAGCCTTGAGAAGGCTGTGGCACCCTGCCTGGATTCTAGATCCGAGCCGAGATGCCGGGAGTAAAAGTTGCTTTGCAAAGCAGTCCAGGAATGACCGGGTTCAGTGGTGGGCGTGGCCGGGGCTGGGTGTGTGTGGGTGGGTGATGGTGGGTGGGTATGACTCGCGGTTTCAAATCAAGGCACTTTCGCTGCGATTGTGCATGCTGCGTCGCCAGGAGCGCGGACCCTTTGACTTAGTCGTTGCTGCAGACTGCGTGATGGTGGCCCCGGCGGCATTTCAGCTCGCGATGGGGCTGTAAACTAGCGCCTCAGAAGCTTGCGTCGCTCGTGGTCTAAGGGCCGACCTGATAGCAGCAAATTACAACCGTTCCGTATCTTGTGGAACATTGACAGAGGTACTGGTTCCCTTGCCCTAGGCTTGGTTGGCCTTAAGAACCGAGCTCATGCCCAAAGCTCTCAGCCCAACTTCGTTTTTTGTGGTCTGGGGAAGATCTTTGAGCAGCAGCAGCATCAGCACACAAGGACAGGACAGAGCCTGTTTCGGGCAAATCAAGCAACCGAGGCGCTGCCGCCGTCGAGTGCTGAGCTGTGATATTGCGGGAGCTCGAAAGTGCAGTAGTAAAACTGTCCCATGTCACATCCGACGATTTAGGTGCGGCCCCATGTGGTCCGAAACTCAAGCCGACATGACATTATTTCCTTCCTTAACTTGATGAAGCATCGTCCGAGGCGGGCGATGGGTGCAACAGCCTGTCCGCCTGATGCGTTGCCTGGGACACAGCCCCGGATGGGACGAAACAAGTTGTTTTGAAAACCAACCACTAAAAGACAACAGGGATACATGCATAATTCATAGATGTATATGATGTATACATGTACACGTGCATACAGTCATAAATGCATGCATGCATGCTCACACACAATAGCAATAACACTGTCAATATTAGTAGTTAGAACAATACCACTACCTCTACTACGAGTAGTAGTACTAGTAGCAGCAG